TTTCGACGATACGTCTTTCTCGTTACATTCAAATTAAGATAATATTTTAGTGTTACATTAGTTTTCATTTCTGATAGTCTTATCCATTGGAGAATGCAAACGGAAGGAAATGGTAGTTTTAAATATCATTGCGGTTTAAGTTATATTGACGCCTACTTTGTTATCTAGATATCAATGAGTGTGCTAAATTCCCTTGTAAGAACGGTGCTACTTGTCAAAATATTGCTGGAAGCTACCATTGCGCGTGTAAACCTGGCTATACAGACAGGAACTGTGGGACAGGTAGGCCACCTTGGAAGATTAAATATACATAGATAAGATTTACTTCTCTCGCTGGACCATATTCTAAAAGAGCGCCATTAAAAATTGTTCTTCCGTCATCTTGTATTGATTGGACGGTTCTAAAATGATAATCATGTGTACTTGGTTTCTTATTCTATATACACAGATATAGACGAGTGTGCTGCATCTCCGTGTCAAAACGATGCCTTGTGTCATAATCTTCCTGGAAGTTACCAATGCAATTGTAAATTCGGATATACTGGACGAAACTGTCAAACTGGTAAGTTCTGTTGCGCTTAAAAGTTTTATTAGGAACAGGAACTTCCATTTTGCCTTCATTTGAATTTTTTAAAATCATTTCAGTACCAAGAAACCGCCTTGAATTTATACTTTTTTATTTAGACATTTACGAATGTGCTAAATCTCCTTGTAAAAACGGTGCTACATGTCAAAATATTCCCGGGAGTTATCTGTGCAGATGTAAGGCAGGTTTTACAGGAAGAAACTGCAACTCAGGTCAGCTAGCCCACTCTCTTTTTAATTCCAACACCTTTCTACAATCTATCTATCCATTTAGAATTATGAACTTTTTGCAATTTACAATCACAAACTTTTATCGGTATCTCCAGAAATATTTAATTTCATTAATTTTACATTTGGAAACGTGATTAGTGAGTGTCCTGGATGGTTTTTAAAAAAATAATTATATATAATATGATATATAGGAAGAGGTACTTTTTATTTTATGCAAGAATAGTTTTATTGATTTGTACTTTTTTCTTTAGATGTAGACGAATGTGCTGGATCTCCTTGTAAAAACGGCGCTAAATGTTCAAATATTCCCGGGAGTTACTCGTGCAGTTGTAAAGCAGGTTTTACAGGGAAGAACTGCGACGTAGGTTAGCTAACTCGCTCTCTTTTCAATTCCAACACCTTTCTACAATCAATCTATCTGTGAATATTTCGCAGTATCTCTGAGGGGATTTTATTTCATTAATTTTGCATTTGGAAACGTATTAAATAAGCGAAAGGAAAGGTGGTTTTAAATGTTACCGCGGTTAAAGTTCTTTTGGCTTTTAATTTGTTATCTAGACATCAATGAGTGTGCAAAATCCCCTTGTAAGAACGGTGCTAGTTGTCAAAATCTTCCTGGAAGTTACCGATGCAAGTGTAAGTCCGGATATACTGGACGAAACTGTCAAACTGGTGAGC